TGATAAGGCGCTCTATCAAAATGCAAGGGTTATTATTATAATATCTACTCTGTTATAAAAAGGAGCATTATAGGCAGAAATATATTATTAAGAGAGAAGTATAAATAAAACACATATGGTATGCTTTATCTATTATTAAAAAAAGAGTATTGTACAGATTGGGTGTGTTATGCACATATGGTAAAGAATGGGTGTATTGTAGAGCAGGTGCGTTCTATCGTACAATGTTCATTTATAAGTAAAGATGATTTGCAGCCAGGTAATATAGTCGAAGCCCTAATCACTGCTTAAACTCCCAGATAATAGTTACACTTGAACAGCAGTGCGAGGAAGCGATTACAAACTAGCTCTGTGCTGCAGTGTAATATGATTATTATAGATTTGAATAAGAAACCATTCATTCCAACTGAGTAGAAGTGTTATCCTTTCCTCTACGTTAATATATTAAAGTGAGGGGTCAATGCTTCCTGTGGAAAAAAAACATTAATCTCAATCTATAATCAACTTCGTAATAAACACTTATTGCAGCCACAAATAGCAACGATAATATTATGTTAATACGGCTCTAATTCATAGATTTCAGGTCCTGAACAAATATTTCTCTTGGACAATCAATATTCATTTTAGTTAAGTGAATGATAGGTCACAATCTTTCAAGCTTCCTTGTGAAAATTGCCTTCATTCCCAAAATGGCCCAAAGGTATTTTGTTTTAATAACCTACGGGATCAACCACACCCAATGAAGCTGATTCATTGAGGGCAAAGCTTCAGAAAGGCTTCTTTTCCAAGTTATAATATTCATTATATTTGCTAACAATGAAATTTAGAGCAATACTCGCTGGGGTGAACAGAACTTCTTAGTTTAGAAGAAAGCTATTGTTTGTCTACAAAATACACCTTTTGATAAAGATGCTATTATATGAACTGTGGCATTATGACTACTGCACAGCTCTTCGAGACGTCCTCATGATGTAAAAGGCACTCTATCAAATGCTAAGATTATTTTATAATCAACAGAGCAATTTTTGGTTGCACCGGAAATGTGTGTCATTTGTGCCCTGAGATTTTGATGTTACAGGCGCTCTATCAGGTGTAGGATGTGTGTGCACATATATGTTATATAGAAATTTACAGTCATCTCCTGCGTGTGTGAAGACGCTATTCACCACATCAGTTCTAAACGAAGGAAGTAATTATTATGGATTTTCCAGGTCAAACATTCAGACATTGTGGTGGCGATTGGAAACTGTCATAAATCGCCTCCGGAGACGTCTTGCAGCATAAAGCATTTTGTGTGCGTTTAAGCCCCTGGAGGGGTCTCTCACTGTGCGTAAAGAGAAAGATAGTGGTGTCACAGGACTGCTTGTATAAGTGTTATGTGAGGCATATAGAGTCTCCCACCTTGAAGGTTAATATTATGGAATCATATGGAATCCCAGAACGTTACAGTATAGAAGGAGGCCATTCGGCCCATCGTGCCTATGCCGGCTCTTTGCAAGAGCTGTCCCATCAGTCCCGCTCCCCTGCTCTTTCCCCATGTCCTTGCAATTTTTTTCCCTCTTCAAGTACCTATCCAATTCCCTTTTTAAAGTTGGTATTGAATCCGTTAATTTAATCTTGAACATTACAGATGAATATACTCAAACTTCAGTTTTAATGTAAATACAAATTACATTACACTGACTCCTTCTGGAGCAAAATCACTGACGTTATTGCTTACTCTGATGTTCAGGGGTGCAGAGCTTAAAAAAAGCTGGAAGGGCGACAGGACAACAACATCCCCATTACAAGGCAACACCAGTTGAAGCGCAACATCCAATTAATGGGTTTTGGTTTGAATCTAGTTGAGAAATTGATTGAATTACCCATGAAAAATCCAACGTTTTATTGTAAGAAGAATCCTCTGATATGCAATCTCTTCTTCATCTTTTCAATTTCTATCGATTTAATTCACCTAGACTTCATCCAGGTGGGTGTCATACAGCCTCAGTGATCTGTCTCATTGACACACTCCTGGACAATCATCCAGAGCTTAAGATGGATCAAGATTGCTATCGTCCTTTGAAGCTGTAGTCATCATAAAGAGGAGAAATGGAATAAAACCCAAATTGTTAAAACGTTTTGGGGGATGTAGATGTCATATTTTGCAGAGCGACCCATGTAACGAGTTTGACTCCAGGGCTGTCCTTTAGCAGTAAAACGATAGAGCTGCAGGCAGCTGCTTTGGCAGTAGAGGGGATATCAGACACTCTGATGGGTTGCTGTTATGAGGTCGCTCAAGGGTAACTTTCCTCAGAAAAGATGAAATGGACCCCTGATTTCAACTGCAGTCACACCGACATTCGGAGGAAGAGAGCTTAAATTAAGATCTAACTCTCATTAACCTCCGGAGAATTATGTGAATACTTCTGTGCGCCAGCAAAAAACTATTTGTTTTCTTCGATTCAAATAGCGGCAGAGTTATTAGAGGTGACATTTTGCATTGCCGCGTTGTTCACAGTTTCCTTCTTTTAAGTGATCTGGCTGTTACTGGTGGATAGCAATAAAGAACGGTTCTCCCTTCAATCAATAACGCATACAATATCGTGTTTGTTGTTTCGGGGAAGGAAAGAGGTTTAGGAAAACATAATGTGATTTTAATTATGATAGGGCTGTATCATGTGCAAACAATACAATAACAGTTCTCCGTTGCTCGAGTTTCTGTCATGCCTGGCTCAGTTGGGAGCACTCTTCCCTCTGAGTCAACAGGTTGTGGGTTCAAGCCCCACATCGGGATTTAGAATGCATACTCTAGGCTGACACTCCAGTGTCGTGTTAGGGATGTGCTACATTTTGTTAGAGGTGCCATTCTTTGGAAGAGACATTAACTGAGGTCCAATCTGTGTTCAGGTGGACATTCAAGATCGATGAGGCACTATTTGAAATTTGAGAATGGAGTTTTTCCGAGTGTCGTGGCCAAAATTCCCACCCGAAAAATTGGTCATTTATTTTGTGACTGTGTGGCACATTGCTGTGTGCAAACTTTGTCTACAAAATACACAGTTACTACACTTTACATATATCCTGTGAAGAGTTTTGAGATGTTCTCCAGATGTGAACGCACTATCTCAAGTGTAAGGATAAGTATTATTACTACTCTGAATGATACTGATGCATTCCTTGTACCCCCACTGACCCTCCCCCTTCAGCCTTGCTCAGCATCCATCCCTGTCTTTTGAAGCACACTGAGATGTTTATCCAACCTGAAGGGCACTATATATAGTTGCTGTTGTTAATGTTCATAGACAGAGTGAAGACAGACTTTCTTAGCAACTTAACAGAGGTACCGATTCCCCTTGAATTAAACCAGATTTTGCGAATAAACGGATAATGCCATTGTTGTTTCTCCATTTCCCAGGTCCATCAGTTTCGGACCTTGTCTCCTCTTTCCATTGTCCGGCAGTCAGACATTATCCCCTTGTTTTGGTTTGACCCATTTCTGCTGATGATACATAATCATTGCCAAACACAAGAGGCTCAGTGCTACATTCCTATCCGTGCAGAATTTCTCTATGCGCAGAAGAGCCGTTTGTATTGTGGACGTGGGGTTTTTATTATTTTATTTAATCAATACAACATGAAATAAGATGGAAATTTATGACAAGCATGCAGAAGGGTAAATATAATTTGATTTGTTTGTCGCTTGTGACATTTTGCTTTTTGATCTGACTCAGTTGAATACTTTAGCCCCCATCACTCCTTCTGATGGGAGTGTCTCTTGGTGGTCCTGGCCAACAACCCTTCCGATATATATATTTTTAAAAATTAGTCATACGCTTCCTAGCTTTTTGTGGGACATTGCTATTTGCTTATTGCCCACTGCTTTTGTTGACAAATACAGTCACTACACTTTACAGTAAACTCCTGTGAAGCACTGAGAGACATTTCAGCAGTGTGATAAGGCACTATTTATTTCACAGGCGATTCTTATTATTATTATTCATCCTTGAAAGAGTGTGTCTCACCATCGCCAGGAAGACATATTATTTCAGAAACCATCCCATGACAAAGAATTAGCCTCAAGTTTGATATCCCTTTCTTTCCCTGTTGCTTGAATTTTTAAGTGTTTTGTGTTGAAGACTTCATCAGGCAAATGGCTTGTGAGCCCAACAGTTGCGGAAACAGAATTAACACACACACACACCCTGAAGCTCCCTGAGGCATCGATGGTATCAAGTGATATAAAATTTGGCTCATCCAAATCAGGAAATCCTCCATTTCCGATGATGTAACCGGAGCTCAGGATTTTAACAATGATAATCATAATCATCAGAAACAGACAGTGAAAGTGAGTCAATTGAACAAATTAGACATCATTCTCAGTCAAGACTGAGGTGGAGAGATACCTGCTAGGTCAGGGTATCAAGGGATATGGGGCAAGGGTGGGTAATTGGACTTGAAGTACAGATCAGCCATGATCTTATATAATGGCGGAACAGGCTCGAGGGGCTGAATGGCATAGTCCTGTTTCTATTAACTCTTTGGAATGGTTTAACTTTTAAAAGTAAACCTTGGGCTTCAGACCTTCTCCACTTAGTCTATCAAACAATGACGCGGAGGAGAGCTTAAGATATTTCTTTACATAACGGAGTGTATGTTATTCATGTGTCCCTTAAAAAAATCTTTCAGAAGCAACATGATCAGTAAGTAAAGGTATGGAATGTTCCTTATTCCGTATCACTAAGTTGGGCAGCATCATTAAGAGCATTCTACTCATGATGTACTGGGAGTAAAAAGGAGCATCAACAATGAAGGAATAATGCAATCCTTTGTGTTTATCAGTACACAGAAGCCACATTATCAGGAGTAAAGGGTACACACATTCTACTTGTGCATATATTTAGTAAATTTGCTGGATTTACTGCTAAGCGTCTGTTAATCCTCTACATAATTATAGAGTAAATTGCATTATTAACTTGGTACACTGAAAGCATACATGCCTGGATCTAATAATAATTTACCTGCTTTGCTGAGCTTCTTTCCAACGTGTCTTCAATTAGCTAAAGAGAAAAGAGAGGGAAGAATTATTAGAGTGGATGTGATGGGACATATGTAAGTGATATCCACAAACACACGGCAAGATCACAGACGACAAAAAAGGCATCAATTAACTGTGGTTAGGTGAAATATTACTGCCTGTTCTGTAATTATATCACCAGGAAATTAGGAGTTTATTTTAATTTATGGGAGAATAATTGATTAAACAGGAACCTTGGAAATAAAGAATGGAACCTTAGCAATTTGTCCTGGCATATGTCAAAACAGTTGTGCTATCACCATTACAGTACTAGGGGGAATACTGCTATGTCCAGTATCATATCATAGCATAGATACCAAAACTTAAGAGTAAAGGCTGTGTCTGCAATATGACTAGGTACCACACTTTAGGACAAGTACACAAACCAATATCAGGCTTTTCTTCTTGTGTCGCTAGATCTAATTTAGCCACTGAAAACACAACATACTGCACAGTTACACTCTCCTTCAACACCCTACGGTAAAGGCAAAACGTGTTTATTACAAGGAAAAGGATCAATATAAGATTAAAATCTTATTAATAATGCCTACTACTGGAGGGTGAATTAGCAGGAATTAATGCTATCTCAGGGCTCAGAATATAAAGCATTCAAGCTTTGCTCCTACAAATCAGATGAATTCCTCAATCGGATTTCTGACTTCTAATTCACGGGTAGACATCCAGTGTGCCCTACACTACACAACAAACTGAGAGGCAGCTTTCAAGTAACTCATTGAGAGCATTGTCAGTCCAACTCACAGAGATGCGCTGTGTTATTCAGAGACCTCATTTAACTTAGAGAATGTCCATATCCGCTGTATGGCCATAGAGATATTCTACACTCACTCGAGCTTCAAAGTATGGAGCAGGTCTCTGTGCTGTTGACTTTTACTCTTCATCACTTGGATTCTGGCTGTAATGGGGCAAGTAAACAAGCACGGGGAGGGGAGGGGAGAGGAGTGGGTGTGAGAGGGGAAGAGCGAAGATAACATGAAGTATAACACAACCCAAGCCTCTGTCAAACTGAGATCTCTCTCAGTCCCACAGAAACTTCATCTCATCACAATGGACAATGCTGGGAAGCAACCCTGCTGTTTGGCTTCCTTCACGTAGACCTGCCCCATTTGTTCCTTCAGTGCAAACCCAGAGAAATGAAGCTAAGCTTTCCGCTTGACACAAGGTAGGTCTAAAACAGTCTGGGTTGGCCCTGCTATACAGAAGAGAGATATTTTTTTCGAAATCAGTGAATAAACTGGACCGGGGAGCGGGAAGGTGTGTGTGTGGGGGGGGGGGGGGAGGGGAAGCGGAGAAGGGGAGTGAAAGCTTCTAGATATGATCTATTCGCTGTTTCGACAGTGACAGAGACTTAAAGCATTTGCAAATCTCAGAAAGATCCTTATAGTGGGAACTGAGTATCATTACATCAGGTGAGGGGTTCCTGACCATAAGCTGCCCAGTGAGCAGAGTGGTTACATTAATACAAACAAAATCATTTGAGCCTTGCACCGAGAATCATACATCAGGGAGTCGTTGTGTAATCAAAAACCTTTTCGTCATTAATAATGTACAGTGCGAAAAAAAAATCTGTGTTCTTCCAAAACCGGCAATATATCACAAAGACAAAAAACATTTCAATAAACACAGCTGGACTATTTTTTACGTCTCTTGTCACAAGGAGCAACATTGTTCTGTTCCGAAGCAGCAAACCGTTCTTTCTCACTCACCAGTAAATAGGTGATTAATGACTTTGCCTGGCACTTACGGATTTCAGTTGAAACTGCTTGCTTATGGCCTCTGGCTCTTACAGGCTTTAAAGCCCTCCATACAGAGGCTTCCTCACACACACTCACACACACACACACAGAATTGGACCCTCATAAGAATTCCTGACATGTCAGTGCAGGAGGAGATTTATTCTGCACTTTACTAATCTAGCAGTGTTTGCTTTAAGATTTTAGTAAATGAGAAATCTGAAAAATTGAAGGACAAGGGATGATTGAGGCTGCGAAATGTGTGATCCACATTAGTAGCTGTCACTAACTTTCTTAATATTTTACCAAAACAAGATCGAATGAGCAGAAGCAAGAGCAATTGCTCAAAGGGTGGCAGCAAGCTCAGATGTTTAAACTGCGAGGATTGTTTGTGGAATATTTGTCTGGTAGTGTGTATAATGTATTGTGTTTATATGTCTCTATGGATACATATGTGTGCGTGGGTCTTTGTACATGTACATTTGCTACTGAATTGTGTAGCTGTCTATGCGGGTGTCTACAGTAGCTGCATGTGTTGTATATCTGTTCGTGTCTTATGTCTACCTAAGGCAATGGGCAGTGGCACAAGATAAAATACTTGGTCAGAGAATATCTGACACAACCGGTGGCAAGGCAGCAAAAAGCATTAACGACAACGAGATGCTTTGATTTCCATTATAAAGCCTTCTCTCTGACAAGCACTCTCATGCTTGAGATTGCCATATGATTCTTTCACTCCACCCTGAAGGGAAGTCCTGGCACCACCCAGCCAGCCTGACTGAGAGCAGGTACTAACCAGAAACACATCAGTTACATAGATCTTTTTTTTCTCGCTGTGAGCAAGTAGCTGCTGCGTTTTGCCCACACACAAGCATATTCTGTGAAGCGCTTTGAGACGCCTCGAAGATTTGATCAGGCGCTGTATCAAAGGCAAGGATTTTTTTTTCGAGGGGTTAATTCTGGCACTGGATAGCGGAAAAAGGCTGGTTGGGTCTCATCTCCATGGTTCTTTGATCAACTCCTAACCTTGTCCGCAAACCTCCACACCGAATCCAACCCATTCATCAGAAGATGCCGTGCGTCAGGATGCTCACTAGGCACACCAGTTCATCAACATTAGTATTTTGTCAACTCCAACTGTGATTGGCCTCCAGTTTTTCGTCCTCTCCTCAACCTGGGTTCCATAAGTGGGCTTATGTCCTCTGGCAGCACACACACTCCTCTCTCATCTGTGAACCTGGACAGTAAGTTAGAAACCTTTGTGACATTGTGGAACTTACAGCTCCTTGTACTTATCCAACATCTACCCTTACTAATAGGGGATCATTGGATAGATATTAAGGGAGGAAAGTAGGACTTTAGTTTGCAGTCCAGCAATTGCTCAAATTATATTTGGTAAGTTAGCATCACCTTAAGATAACCTTCTCCAAAACTCTTCACTCTCGCTTTCTTCACTCTCGTGTCTAATCTCAGGTTTGTCAAATGATAGTTTGGTCATCGTTCAATAATAATAATAATCCTTGCCGTCAATATAGCGCCTTATCACGTCTTCAATCCAAGGTAACCTAAGATGTAGAATTAATGAGAGAACTTTTGCCTATCAAACACGTCTCTTCCAATGGAACGAGTGATCACAATGCGATATCCTGCATCACTACCAATACCGCCTGCAGCAAATGTGACCGTTGGAATCTGTGAGCATCCAGAGATGAAGTCAATGTTGCTAATGTTGATGTAAATGTAATGCATTTTTCATTAGGAAATGTAATTAATTTAACTGGCAATAAACAGGAAGGTGTGCATCAATTTGTGATTAATGCCCTCGATTATTGGATCTGCAGCTCGCACCTTAACAAATTCCAGCATGCATTCATTATCAATTAGTGGCACCCCCCAAGCAGTATAACCACGGCAACACCTTGCTCTGCCCTGCCAGACTCGGACATGTGTGCAGGACATTCACAGATCTCACAATAGGGTTTGTGATGCTCCGTTTGCTAAGTGTAGTGAATCCTTCGATCCACACTTCTAATGGGGATAAGCAAGCCATTCATATCAGCTGCTCTTAGTGAACCGAACAAAACGACTGCCAATACCGTTAACTCTTTCCTGCGTTTGTAGATTTAACACCCCCCCAGCCCCCTTTCTATCTGCAAGTCTTTTAAACTTACCACCTCGTCAATTGACCAAGCATTCCCTTACTCTGCTCATTCACTTGAGGCAAGGCTAGGAGTAGCTCAAGTTCGAAAATGAAAACAAAGTCTGCTTTAAAGCGCTCTGGGACGCAACCCTGAGTGAAAGGTGCTATATAAATACAAGTTGTTGTTGTAAACGACCATTCAGGTTGACCCTACGCCTTTTAGTTTGAGAGTACAGTGATACAATTCATATGTCTTGTGTTTTCCTCGCTACGCCATCAGCCTCTGTTCAGTGAATAATACTGTAAAGTGAATTGACCATATATATTTTGGGCAAAACTCACCAGTCAATTGCAGTGTCCCACAAACAGTCATTGATTGAGTGACCATTTATTTATTTATTTATTTAGTTAGTTAGTTAGATCCACCAATCAACTAACAACCAGGTTCCTACTTACTACTAGGTGAACAGAGGCGTGTGGAGTAAGGAAACTTGATTAACGTTTCACCCTGAGCCTGGGAATCGAACCCAGGTCCTCTCGCTTGCGAGGCGAGTCCTCTAACCATTGAGCTACAGGACTCCACATTTGCACAGTGTTAGGCACTGGAATTGGTATCAGTACATGGTAGTCTGTGCGTGCTGTTGCATATCTTCCAACTGAAACGAAACCTTGTTGACTCATCAGAAAGCTGGTTGTGACTAGACGGCATCCTTATCACCCAGCTAAGTGAGTTGGGACCACGTGCTATTTTTAGCAGCTACTATAGATGGAGACCAGGTACACAGTGAGCACAGAGCGTGTGAAAGAAAACCTAAAATGGGGGGGAAAGAATTAGGCCATTCGTCCAAATCCTCTGGAGAATAGTTCAATCTGAAAGCATACGGCAGGAAAACAAGATACGGGGTATTGTTTGAGTTAAAACACTCGTCGCTTGTTCCAGAAACCGTGCGAAAGCAGATTGGTTGTTGCAACAATCTTCTTATTTTAAGGCCCATCAATTATTGCAGACCGATTGGGTACTGCATTTGTTTAATATCAAACTCGTTCTCTCTCTCTTTCTCTCTCTCGCTTTCTCTCTCTCTCTTTTCCTCC